AATTGGATTATAATTTTTTTTCAGGCAAAACAAAATAACGGTTACACCTATTTTAAAAAAACTTTCAGTTTCCTGAAATTTTATATCAAGCACTCTTCCTTTGCGAATAGGCTTAGAAAAATTTTGATTTTTTTTCTCACTCTTATGTTTGAATTTTATGAAACACAAGAAGAACACAAGTCATTGTACAGACTACCAAACAAACTTCGAAAATCAATACGCCTTTTTTATAAATAAATAATCTAAATAAAAAAATATATTTTTAAAAACCACGTTTTTGTAGTGAAGAATAATAATTAAAAAATAATAATTTTAAAAAAATGTAAAATAAAAATGAAAAATTTAAAAAAATTATAATTTAAAATAAAACAATTCAAAATAAAAAATAATATTTTTAAAAACCACGTTTTTGTAGTGGAGAATAATAATTAAAAAAAAATTTGAAAAACGAAAAACGTGGGGCGCATGAAATACATAACAGTAATGTTATATTAATGTGTGCTCTTGAGAATATGTGTATGTATATCTGTAATTGTATCTGTAATTGTATCTGAATGTGGATGTGGAATATGTTTGTGTATATGCATATGTATGTGCATGTATATGTGGCTGTGCATGTGTATGAGTAAGAAAATGTGTATATGTATGTATATGTACTGTTATGTATTTCATGCGCCCCACGTTTTTCGTTTTAAAATTTTTTTTTAATTATTACTCTTCGCTACAAAAACGTGGTTTTTAAAAATATTATTTTTTATTTTGAATTTTTTTAATTTTAGTCGGGATTTTTTTTTAATTATTACTCTTCGCTACAAAAACGTGGTTTTTTAAAATATTATTTTTTATTTTGAATTTTTTTAATTTTAGTCGGGATTTTTTTTTAAGTTGAAAAATGACCGGCTCTTTTTGACCGGGTTAAAAATCCCAAAAATTTTAAACTGAAATTTAAAACTATTATTTTACAAGCTACTGTCTTCTTTGCACCATTTACTTCCAAATTATTGTTGATTAAACTCGAGAGGAGTTCAGTGAAATGCATGAAACTAACAAATTTATTTTACACCGCTTAAAAGCTCTAATTTCAAAAATTAGACTAAATAAATAAAAATACTAAAAAGTTTAAATACATTATTTAAAAAAATGAAGAATATTATTTAATTTATGTGTTACTTGATCGAATAAAACTAAATTTAAAATCAAATAGATTCAAGTCAAAAAATAAATCAATATCTAGGTAAGATATTTTGATGGCAAATTTTTGTTCCTAATTTTTTTAGGAAAAATCTCTATTAATTGAAAAAGAGCTGTATTATAATTTATTAATTTGGTTAATTAACTTATTCACTCTATTTCTGATATCCAAATATTAGTTTTAATCGCATCACTTTAAGCATCCCTGGCACTGTATTTACGTAAAAGAAATTTTAGCACTTTAACGCAGAATTTTTAGCATTAATTTAGGTAAGCATTATTTTGCACTAATTTAGGTAAAAATAAGTACATTTTAATAATATATGACTGGGGAACATTTTAATTTTCTGCTTGAAATCTTCCAAACACGATTCACTTTCAAGCAATTTGCACTTATTTGTTGTTATTTAGCTTAAAGAGATTCCTCATTGGAATTTTTTTAATTTACAAAGATAATTATTAAAAATTTTTTGAATATGAATGGGAAACTACATTTTTTTCCACAGATAGCATCCAATTTTTCTTTAACAAAATCTTTCCGCTGTTGGTTGTCGGCGTTTTGCAAGCGGTGCTCACTAAACATACCGGATCAAATGACCATGTATAAACTTTTGCGTCGAAAATACGCTTATCGTTTTTGCACTTTTGACTTTATGACTTTTTCTAAAAATTATATACAGTTAATATTCTATTATTGTTTTTTTTTAACATTTTGTTTGTTTCGAATAATATCGAATAATACGTGTCGTATACCTATTTTTACCACAACCGGTCATTTGACAGAGAGAACAATTTATTGCTTCATAAGGATCAGAAATGACGATGTTCAACCTATTGCATTCCATGAGTTTCTGTAAAAACTGTTGCGCTGTTAGTTCCATCAAAATCTCTGCGAATTCAAGAAAGTTCCTAAAATTTTAAATCGGCATTTTTGTGTCAGAAAAAGAGACAAAAACAAAATGTTTTGGTAAGTCGCTTATATTTCATTTTGATAGTTTTACTTCATTTCTAACAAACGGTTAGTTTTTACCCAGAAAAATGTCAATCAAGACAGCTCAAGTTCTTAGAAAAAATAATATTTATTATAAAGAATCATTATTAGAATTCTTATAATTATAAGAATTACAGAAATAATTAGAAGAAATATGCTTGTGAAAAATGTACAACGGAAACACTCGGTATACTTTGAACAACGAATTTTAATTCTTTGTGTTTGTAACAGATATAATTATACAATTTTGTTTAATTCTAATAAAGTTTTTTCAGTTTATATCCTTCCTATCATCCATATTTCATACATTCAATCATGAAGTCCGCTCATTTGACAGACTATTGTAGAAATACATTAAGTGTTGGTGTGTTAAATAAATTCCTTATTGGAATTTCTTTCATTTACAAAATTAATTATTGACAATTTTTTGAATATGAATGAAAAAAATTCAAACTACATTTTTTTTTTAAATTTTATATTTTAGTACAAACATGATTCAGATACAGATTTTTTTTGGCAACTATTGAACTGTTTTTCTTAATAAAAAAATATCGAAACATATTTTTACTTGCATTTAGAGAAAAAAATATATATAACTGACCCATCTGCGTCGTAGGATTAAAGATCTTATTTTTTCAAATAAGATTACTTTATTATTCTGCCTACAATACAACTTTTTATTTAAATCCGGTATGAGCCTTAAATGAAGGTGGAATAATAGATTTAAAGAGTTTAAAACAATAAATTATATATTTTTTAAGCTCAAAATATCGTATTAAATAGTCGCTGATTTAAAATATAACTCAAAAAATAAAATTATCGAAAAAACTGAAAGTGCAAAGCTGAATTTGAAATAAAAAGAAGTCATTTAACAGTGACTGAAAAAGGAAGGAAAAAAATTGTAATTAGAGAATAAATTTTCATTTGAAGATAAATTTTGCGGTTTTCAGCCGTTTTACTTTCTTTTCTTTCTTTCTAATTTTAAGTGATTATCAAATCTCTTTTTAGGATGAATTAGAGATTTCTTTTTTCTGGACGAAGACTCAAAACAAAATCTATTCAAATGTTTTTCTCTTTTTTTAAGTTTTTTTTTTCATTCGAAAAAAGAAATATCAAATTTCATGCACAGACAAATTAAAACTTACAAAACTGATTTAATGTCAATAAAAATATAAATTCTAATAGAGGAATTACATCATCTTATTAGTTTGATAGAATTCATTGTTAATGTTTGCCTATATATTCAATTAGTGCATTGAGTACTCGTCATTTCAAAATGTAAAGGATGAATAATTAAAATTTTATAATTTTGTTTTCATTCGAAATTGACATGAAAATGTAATTAAAAGATAAAATTTCTCTTAAAAATTTTTTTTAAGGATATTTAATCTTTAGCAGCAGAGGCGTATTTATTCAAATTTAATCTAACTACAAAACAATAATATAATAAAATTTCTCTAGAAATTTAATTAAAGTGTTTTACAATTACTTTTCACTGGATATATTCTAATGAAAAGAAATTTTTGAACTTTAATTAAAGATTGAGATTTTTAAAATATTTTTTTTAAGAAACTGAGATTTAATCTTTCAGAAAATTTGCGTTTCGTATAATACATAAATAATATAAAACTATAATAGAATGAAAATTTTTCTTAAATATCAATAAAAAAAAATTTTTCTATCCTTTTTGAATATTCCTAAGTATGAAATTTTTTTTTTAAATTTGGTAAAAACTTGAACTAATTAAATGCATATTTAAAAAAATTGGTATTAATATACAAAAAAATAAGCTCTCTAGGAAAAGAACTTCATAATTATAGCATTTCTCTTAAAGCTCGTCCCAAACTTATATTTTTCTGAATATATTCATATAAGAATAATATTTTTAAAAAATTTGTTTAAAAATTTAACTTTTTAGCAATTTATTTTTTTAAAAAAAGTAAATGAACTTTAGTAGCAAAAGCATTTATTAAATTAGTATACTAAAATTACAAAATGATAATAGTATTAAAATTTTTCTCGATTGTCATTGTGAATTTTTTTGTTCTTTTCGAATATGAAAATATTCGAAAAGAACAAAAAATTCAAATCGTAAAGAAATAAAATCAAAATTTTTCTAATTTAGTTAAAAATTAAAACTTTTCAAGATTTTTTTAAAAAAGAAATTAGATTTTTAATCTTTAAGAGAACAAAAGCCTTTATTAAAAAGTATTCCTTCCTTAAAATTATCTTCAAATTGAAATGTTTCTTTAAAATCAATTTAAATTTTTTACTCACTGCTGGAGCATCCATTGCCTAGTTACTAAGATCAAATTTGAATAAGAGCAAAATTTAGCTCTTATTTCAGTCAGACATAAATTTCTTAATTTTTGTTTTTGAGTAAAAGTATTCCCGTTTTATGAAACTTATTATTCAATCAAATGAAAGGAATATATTTTTCTTAATGAAAATTTCTCTCTCGAAAATATTCATTCTAAAAACACGACAGATACATTTATAGTACAAACTTTTTAAAACAAAACGAAAAAAAAAATTGATTCTTTTTCTTCATGCCATATGGAATCATCGAAATAGTTTCTCCCATTCTGCTGGCAACAGCATTTTTAACATAAATTTGATACAAAATTATCAAACTAACAAGTCTAAAAGGAATAATCAGTATTGTGAGAGTTTGTCCCCACCGACAGGGGTAAAAATAGGGGTGCATCCATTTCGGACGATTTTTTTAAAATTTTTTAAAACTCCAAAGTCATTGTACAGATTACTTAGAAAAGGGATTTGTATAAAAATGACAAAATTAAAAAAAAAAACCACTCACTGCTGTCAGTCCTGGGATTGGCAATCTTTTTCCCGTGTTTCGGCGGCATTTTCGTGAACGGGTTCCTCTGTCGATAGTCAGAAACGGGCGCCCCAGGATCACCTTGAAGCCCTGCACAGTGTATGGGTGCGCCCTCTCGTGTACGTCTCCCTCCCCCCCTAGTCTCCTCTCACACTCTCGCTCTTCACTGGAGATCTGGAAAACAAACTGGATAAAAAAAAAAGGAGAAATAACAATTGTAAGTTCCTCCTCTTCATTTTTTTTTTTAATCCGAAATTTCACTCCTTTATTTGGGCATCCATATAGAGGTTTGATGAAGAAATGTCGGAATGCGTGTTTCGTCTATACAGATTCATCGAATATATTTAAGAGAAAAAATGCTAAAATATATTTAGGCTTTATATCTCAATTTCGGAAATAAATTAGGTTTCTCTCTTCTTTTTTTTTTTTAATGCAGAAAGATGGCGTGTTCATTTGTTTTAGGGTTGATATTAGAATATTGAAAAGATTTGTAGTTTTATTTTATCCGTCATTTCTCACAAGTTTTTTGAAACAAATGTGTATTGTCCAAACTGATGCGCCGTACAGACATTTAAAAATATAAGGCCAACATAAAGTTTGAATTTTTTCTTTTTTATTTTCATTAAAGTGTTTTATTGACAATGACATGGTACTCTTGGTATTGCTATTAAATTATTACAACATTTTATAGTTCTAAAAAGGTTTTTACTATCATTATTTATCTCGAATAAACTTTTAAATTTTATTCAAAAAGGTGTAAAAAAATGTCCCGTTTATGCATAATATTTTCATAAGAACAGAACCTCAAAATATACTCTCATTTTCGATATCCATTTTTAATATAAAGTGGTCTGCAACGCGAAATGATGTCCCCAAGAATTTGTTTTTGGATCCATATTCGATAATTTAAAAGTTTTGAATATTTATTCTTTTACGAATATTTATTATTTTATATGAGAATTTATTGTTTCACGCCGAAACTTTAACATTAATGAACATTTTATTGGGAAAGTTTTGTTTAAATTGAACAAGCTGTTATTGGGTAATTTAATGTTTTATAGTAATATTATTTCTATTTTTCAAATACCTGATTGCAGTGGTTTTGTCCTATTACTTGATTAAACGGTAAAAAATAGAACTCACAACAGCTTTTATTATGTTTGAGTCAGCAAATAGGTTGTCTAAAATGTTTGTCCTTTTGAAGAAGACGTCACGAGTCTTATAAATGTCCATTAAATTAAACTTACCAGTCTATTAAACTAAACTTTTAAACTAAAGTTTTGAAATAAATTATTAAGGTTTAACTTTCAACTATGCACACTTATGAACACTATAAATTTCTATCAAAGATTTCAAATCAATCGATTGATAAATTCTGAAAAAAAAAAAAAAATTAGACTGTCTCTTGTTTTAGGATTAAAAGTAAATCTTCCTGCAGCTATAATTTTCTCTCTTCTTTCAGTAAATGTTTTAAAATGATGTATGGCAAGAGAAATTCCAACTCTAAGGGGGGGGGGGAAGGGTCCTAATATATAATCGTCGAATCTGGTAAGTCCTGCGCATCACTTTAGCTTCTTAGTTGACCTTTTCAGTTAAGCAGTCATTTAAGAATCACTTTTTATTGCCACTTTTTGCAAACTTTTTAGTTCAATTACAGAAAATTCATATTAAAACGGCTATGAAAAGCAAATTCAACAACAAAAATTTGGCTGACTTTATAAGAATTTTATTTATAAGGAAAAATACTATTTTGAAAAATGTAAATTCTTAAGAAACTCTCCGAATCTTTCGATCAATTCTGGAGGATCGAAATTTTGAATTATAGTGAACCTTCAATCGGTTCACTATAACTAATTTTTCCGAACCTCTTGTGACACATTATTTAAATAAATGATCCATAAAAATAAATTGATTTAAAAACAATATGTAGTAACAAAAAAATGCGTCCACTTTTATTTTTTATGACGTCTTGCGTACAAAAAATTTAGGGATATGATTATAGTAGAAGTAAACAAGAAAAAATGCTTATGGCTCTACATTACAGACAAAAATCAAGAGATGCGCATTTTATGTAGATATTTCGAAATGACCAAAAAATGAAGAATAAAAAATGAGTCGAAGACAGAAAAAAAGTTCATACTGTCCTCTCTTCTTTTGATTTACTATATCCACAATAAATGATATTAGCAAGCGAACATTTCGTTCACTGTATCCGGAAATTCACTGTAACGCGGTTTGACTGTATTTTAATTAAAATTCTGTTCTTTAAATTCTTTCAGCATTGCTGTATGTTTATCATTAAAAATTAAAAAAATATTTAATTGGTTATTTAATTTGGGTCTATATTTTTTTTTCGTTGACTCGCCATGTGGCGAATGATTATTTTCAAGTCTACGTGCTAAAAATAACGCTCGTATTAAGGCCTATTAGATTTAATAACTTGTAATACAATGTTTGGATTTGCAATTCTATTTCGATTTTCCTCGATTAAAATATACATTTAGAATATACTAATGATGATCACCCATTAAATCATCCGTCCTACTGCGATACCTATAGAAATGAAAGCATTAGCCTCCCCCCCCCCTCAAAAGGACTTATTTTCAATAAACTTTATTTTGAGGAAGTTCGCTATAGATGTTTTGCCTCAGGAATTAATTTTGCTCCTTAACAGCTTCCCTCATTATCACGAGTTAACTCGGGTATATTATATTGCAAATATTTATTATCCCGATTATACTCGGGGATAGCAGAACTCAATACGTTTTGTTTCGTTGTTTGTATATAACGATGGGTTGATGAACATAGAAAGAAAAAAAAAAGAGTAAAAAAATGTGGGTTCGTGAGCGAAAATAATGCGGATTATTTTTCAGATGATGTGAACAAAGACTAATATTTAGCTTTTTTTCATTGGCCCGAGATAATTTGGGATAGTAAACCTGATGGTAGATTAAGTATTTTTTTTTAAATAAAAAAATTAAAATTTCAACTTAGAACTTGTGTATTTGTCTTAGTTCCTTGCATTTGTTAATGAAATAAAAGAAACGTGTTAATNAACAGCTTCCCTCATTATCACGAGTTAACTCGGGTATGTATATATTATATTTCAAATATTTATTATCCCGATTATACTCGGGGATAGCAGAATTCAATACGTTTTGTTTCGTTGTTTGTATATAACGATGGGAACATAGAAAAAAAAATGTGGGTTCGTGAGCGAAAATAATGCGGATGATTTTTCAGATGATGACTAATATTTAGCTTTTTTTCATTGGCCCGAGATAATTTGGGATAGTAAACCTGATGGTAAATTAAGTATTTTTTTTTTAAATAAAAAAATTAAAATTTCAACTTAGAACTTGTGTATTTGTTTTAGTTCCTCGCATTTGTTAATGAAATAAAAGAAACCTTTTCATTTTTTTTTCTTCAAAAAAATTAGTAAGGGAAACTGTTAAGAGATGCATCCAAGTAAAACCTCAAAGAGACCCAGCTTCAAATATATTGAGCAACATTTGATATAATTTTATCAATAAAAAAAAAGAAGAGATATTTTTACACAGCGATTTCTTGCGCAGAAATAGATGAATCCTCGTAGGGCAAAGTTTTTAATGATTAAGAAAAAAACATAAGAAAAGAAAATTCTATTCAAATAATATTTCGGACAGTTTTATGGCTCATAAATATTTGAGTCTACTGGTGATGAGAACACAATAAACCACAAATAAGTATTTCAGTTTTATGTAGTTATTAGGATTAAATGGAAAAGGTGATTTACAGTAATGGACAGATTTTAATTTAAAAATGTAATTTATCTTATTTATGAGTTTTCTGTCTTCTACGTAAAAATTGCATTTTTTCTCTTGTTCGAAACTTCTCAGAAGGTTGAATGTATGGAAAAGTAGGACTATATCTGGAGTATCCTTAATCTTATCCCGGGTTTCGAGAAGTCTCTGCTTTTCGAATGACAACTCTACACGATTGGGCACGATCTCCGTTCGCTCATTTATAATACCTTTTTTGGATATTTTCCTCTTGCCTAGTACAATTATAATGCAAGCTTTTGTTCCTTTTAAAATGTATTACCTAAGCTAAAAAAAAGTCAAGAATCAAGTTCTTTTTTTATTTAAGAAACTACCAAATAGGAGAGCGAGTCATTAAATGTCGCTGGAATGAAAAATCGCGCCAAACGAGGTTCTTTTCGACTCTGAAGGAACGACCCATCTACTCTTAATATTGGGAGACTAGATAATTTCTCCAGTTTTACATCTCAATTGTTTTTCTTTCATTGTAGACTTTTATTTATCTGTACTTGTGTATCTGGCATAATAACTGCCTTTCGCATCAGAAATGAAAAATTGTTTTATCATAACTTCCTGAGCATTGAAGTAAATGCAGAATTGGATGGGGGCTAAAATGGTGATATGAACGAAAAGTCGGGATTCCTCGTTCATTTTAAGAAAATGAACTCCTGCGCTATACAATGAAGTCTTTAAATATTTTGAGTCTTAAATGCAGATCCTATTTATCACTGATTTTTCGTATAATCGATTGTCGAGAATTTAAAAACATTGTTAAACGTCAGACCGCAGAGAGATTCTATGCAAGTTAAGAAAAGAAGATATAGAATTTAAGTAATCATCCGCGACTGCAAATAGTTCCGTTGTCAAATATGCTTTCAAAACAACATAAATACTTTTAAAAGTTAAACACGTCAGGCAGAAGTCGTGCTTTCTTTTACGATATATATCATAGAATAATAATAATAATAATAAAAAAAAAGGTTATACTTTCGTAGTCTAAATATAGCGACTTATTTTGACAATTCAGGAGAACGTTCATTCTTGAAAAAGAAGCAATGACATGACGTTGCAATATCAATGGATTTCCTTGGACCACATAAAATGGAGCGTCTTATGCCCTTAACAAATTAAATGCGAGATAAAGATTATTTTACTTTTGTTTTGTTCTGCATTTTTATAAAGCCAAAGAACGAGAACGTCAAGGGTGATACCATTCAGAAGGTTAAAGAGTACTATGAACCTACGGACCTCATCGGGTTAAAGAGTATAAGAGACGGGGGTGCGCTCCTG